GGCGGGGGGCCGGGCGGGCGCCCGCGGCACGCCCCCGCCGCTCTCCGGGAGCCGCCGGGGCGGGACTTCCCGCGCAGACACCCCCTCGAGGCAGCGCCCCCGCCTCCCGGGCAGCCCCCGCACCGCCGGGCGGGGCGAGGCCGGTGGCTGCCCGGGGCCCCCGTGCTCCTCCCGGCGCTGCGCAGGGACCCGAAGGCGCTGCTGGTCCCCGGCAGAGCCGTGTCAATTTGACGAACTGAACAAATCTTCTTTTCGGCAGCCGGCCGCCGGCCAAGCTTTGGCGGCTTCCCTGCATCCCTCGCGGAGCGGCGCCGGGAAAGATGGGCGTTCTGCGGGGTCGGAGCCTGAAGGGCAGCCGGCAGGGAGGTCTCCTTGCCCCCGCTCCCCGCAGAGGGCTTGCAGGTAGGCCTAGCTGCAGCAGCACATGTGGCTGCTCTGTAATTAAAGAGCTGGGCAGTATTAAAGAGCTTCAGGAAGATTATATGGTTTCAGATAAATAGGATTATGGATCCCTGTCCTCTCGGATCATTACTCCAACCAACACTCAAGAAAACCACTTCTAATAATGCCGTTGAAGAAGCCCTGATGTTTTATTAATCTGTCCCTATTTCCATGGCTCCACAGAGAACAGACTGGAGTCCCAGCTCCAAGGAGGGGCTTTCTTGGTCTGGAGAAAAACCCCAAAGATAGCAGTGCATCTCTCCTGGGGGAAACCTGTCCAGAAGTTGCCAGTGGTGAGGGTTCTGGCATAGAAGTGCTGATTTGAAGCCGGCTGGAGGCTGTGCTTGAACTGGACACAGGGTTTTCATCCATCCAGGCTCTTGCTCCAGATTCTCCATGTCTGTCAGAATTAACAGCACAACCCAAGGTGCTCCTTGGCTACTGGTTGCACAAGCAGCCACATCCTGCACACAAAAGCCTTTATACTTACACACACAATGAGCTCTTTCAGTTACATTTACTTTTACCTTATGTTTCAGTCAAGTGTAAAGAGCCTTTGGGTAAAAGGTCAGAGACGTAAATTCAGCCAGGATGGAGTTGTGCTGAGAAAATAATGCTGTTCCTACCTCCTAAATGGTAAAGAAACCTCTTTGTTAATGTGGATGCCAGTGGGTTTAAAGGGGGAAACACAAAAACCTTTGCCATTCTAAGATGGGAAGAAGAAATACATCCAGACCTTTTAGCAAGAGCTAAACCTGTCTCCAAGTAAGGGGAAAGATGCCTTTCCTTTAACATCCCAGTCAGCAGGGTTCTCAGCTGCAAGGAACCCACAGACCAAATCCTGCCATAGCAATGGAGTGACAGCCAGGGTCACAGAGCACGGACAGAGCCACAGCAGGGGCAACTTCCCCTCCTGCCACTAATCAAACACAGATATTGCTTCCCTAACTATGAAGACTCATTGGTGAAACCAAGAGCTTCTGGTTCAGTGCCTCGCCCAAGCTAACACAAGGAAGCCCCTTCTCAGGACACACACTGTATTTATCCTCAGGCCGAGGAAGCTCAGATGGTGTCAGCTACGGTTTGCACAGCATGGGTGGCAGTGTCATCAGAAAAGGTCAAGCAAAGTAAACCTCACTTGTTTGTCTGTGCTCTGAAGGGAAAATGCTTTGGCACAGTCAGATAGGAGCTATGAAATCCATTCTGGAGATTAAAATATCTCAGAAAAAAAAAAATAAAATGCCTGGTGTGAAATCCTGCTTCTATTCAGCGCTTTTAGTACTGAGATGAACTGCCCAGATGCAGCTTCTCTGCCCATCACTGCTGCACCTTTGCAGGCAAGGAAGAATCATAACAAATATCCCGTTTTGATGTTGAACAGGAAAGCTGCTCTGTCCCATCTTGGAGAGCTCTTATAGGAGCCCCCATCCCTAGCATTTGTGTAGAGCTTTGAAATGAATGCTTTGCTTATGTCAGGCACAAGTGCAGTTCACTAAAGGCAATGGAAATGTCATCTAGGTGGTCAGACCCTCTGGAGCCAAAAAGGAGAGTTATTTTTGCAGGCAAGCAGAAAGGCTCCAGAAGAGACTTGGAGACAGGTAAATTGTTGATGGGTGAGGGGAGGTGATTGTAATTCAGAAAAGCTCAGGTGTGCTGCTGCAGCTGGCCATGGGTGCCTGCAGCAACGGGCTGAGGGGCACTGCTGAAGCAGAGACCTGGCAACTGCAGTGCTTGCAACACTTGAATGGTGCATCACCCTTACTAGAGCATCTTTAAAACCATGTTTTGCAGCCATCTCTTGGGACATAGACACAGCAGAGCAAGAAGCAACCTTGGGGCAGGGGCTGAATTACATGATCATTCAAATTCATTCTCAGCCCATTTTGCTCCGATTTTATACTTAGATTTATTTGCAATCTGATTACAGCAGGAGACTGAAATAGCAATCAAGTATGTTCAGGCTGAAAAAGTCAAACTGACAACAGTAAGTCTTCCTGGCCTCACAATATTTGGTACTGCAAATACACATGTATGACCAACCAAGCTAATTTTATCACTGCTGAGAAGTGAATCATCAGTCCAATTCTCAGAAGAAAGGGATCCTGCTCTGCTGTGCTCCATCCTGCCTGGTCCTGCTTCCACAGCTTGCCTTTATGTCCACGGAGTGAGAACTGCAAGTCTCTCATCATATCACTTTGCATTTGCTTTGCCTTCACCCTGCATTGTTGTGAGCAGGACGCACAAGACAAGGTAAGCAGGCCCTGGGCTTGAACACGTGGACAGCAATCCAGGCCATTCGGCTACAAGCCAAGCTGAAGCTTTTGGTTCCCCCTACCCAGGACTGTGCCAGGAGGTTTCACAGACTCTTTGAGAATGAGTGTTTCTTGAGGAATGTAGGGTGAAATGTCGGTGATTTTTGGTCTGCTGCATACAGGCTCTGTTGTTACAGGAGGGGTCATCTGTGTAGTGTTTGCAGCCTGGACAGCTGGTATGGGAATGATTCATGCTGTTAGAACGGCTTTGCTTTGGAGGTCAGGCTGGCTCTTTAGGACTGCCACCAAAGACAAGCTTTTACTTCAAATCTGTGAAAGATACCATTTGTCCTGTTTATTTTTCCAGCATTGGTGTTCATATGGATGGAATACACCGTTCCTGCCACAGCCTGTCTTCCTAGCCATGAAGGTTTTCTGGAGTTATGTGGACTCCATACTTTGGCTCTTCACTAGCTCTTTGCAACAGTCTTGCCTTCATTTCCTTTTCTTTTCTCTGGATTTGATTTCTTCTCCATATATTGCTTTGGTGGGGTTTTGCTCACTTTTTTGTGCACCACAGATGGAGGGAGCAACTGCTGCATTATAGGTCCCCTCTGCTCCTGAAGGCCCACTGAGAACAAGGTGAGGATAGAAATGGAACTTTCAGCCTAGTTCAAATAAGAAATACTACTGTCCCCAGACAGGCTCTTAGGAGTCAGGTCATGTGTGACGGCACAAGTAGTTACATATCCAACCCTCTGGGCTGTGATTTCTTCATTTAGGTTTTTATGGGGGCAATTAAAAACCCAAGAAAAAGTCAAGATAGAGAGTGATACAGCAAAACATTCTCTAGCAAAAGGTAACTTTTGAGGAAGGACTTGCAATCACTGGAGACTTTCTTTGCCCTCTGATCCACAGCCCTGCCTCATCCAGGAAATGTGTCTGCCTTTGGATTTCCTTCCAGCAGCTGGTTTAAACTTTCTCTCTTGCACACACCTCTCTCCAGCCAGCATCAGCTGCTTTCCATTTCCTTCTTCCTGCTGTGTGCACTCCCAGTCAGGTAGCCAGCACACCTGTTCCCACCACCAGCAAGCAGCAGTGGGACAGGGAGGGGAGCCAGTGCAGAGATCACACCCATTGCAGCTCCCTGCTAAAAACAGAGAAGGGGGTGTGAAAAAAGGGTGTTCATAGATCTGCCACCACAACTGAAAGAGGGAATGAATTATGTTTTGCATGTTGCTTTGTGTGCAGCTACACAGGACATCAAATTAAATGTCTGCCTGCAAGCAGACTCACTTATTTAATGACCACCAAATCCAGGTAGGCATGAGCCATGCTGAAGCACTGCAGAGAAGAGCAGACACGTGTGTGTCATAAGGAAATGTGCACCACAACTTCTTCTGTTTCTCCCCCCCATATTGCTTAGGAAGTAGAGGGGAAAGTGAAGAGCATATTAATTGCATGTTTGCATATGGCAAGGATCCATGAATGCTGTGGTTTCAATGAGCACCCTAATGCTATGTGGGGAATGAAAGGGAAGCCACAAAGCTCAGCACTGCAATTATTATTCTTTCTGGGGTAAACTTGGGGCCCTTGGATAGGTTTAAATCAAGCCTTGCAAACAAGGAGCGAGTGACAGACAAGGAAGGAGGAAAGACCTAGGAAAAGGAAAGCCTTGAGTACAAGACACGGGACCCTAGGACATCCCTTCACGGAACCCCTTTAGTCTCCTGGGAATGTGGCTGAGCTGCCTGTGGCTGTAGTCTTTCTGCCAGTATGACAGAAAGCAAAGCCCCCAAACAGTAAATGGGCACTTTAACAAAATATGAGAAATGAAAACTCACCACTTTGGAAGTAACTGGTATAGGACGAAAACTCTCTGTAATTCCTTCATTTCTTCATGGCAAGCTAAGACTCCTCCTTTGCCTTGTCACACACAATCTCCCCTTCCTGCTCTATACCTCAGAAAGAGCATAGGCTGGCAATCTCCCTGGGGAATCAGACAACTTTCTGGCTGACTGGGTGCAGAGTAGCTTCAATATGAGGACATCTCCTTCCAGCAGTTTGTTAGCATTTGAAAACAGTATGTGAATGGGAAACTGCAGTACAGCAGAAGAGGGTGGCTACCTCTGCTTCCTATGCACTACTTTTTATTTACTAGGCTTTTAGCCTTCCTGGTTGCAAGACGTGCTTGCAGAAGGGATCCAGGCAGACTTCACAGGGCTAGAGACAACCTGAAGAGTCATTCTTAGGGGAATGTATCGCCTCTTTTCTCCTAACCATTTCCTACAACTCAAATATTTCCCTAGGAAGAATGACGAGCTGCACACTCTGAATTTTACACCAAGAAGATACGTTGTATCAAGGAGTGGGAAGCAAATGGCTTTGGTACAGGAGGCAGCTGAAGAGCTGCTGGAACAGGACTGCATGAGTCGGGGCAAGGGATGGCAAGAACTCTGCTTTGACACACTGTATGTGCCATATAGAGTCAACTCCAAACTCCCAGTTACCCACATGAATGACTAGAGGGAAATCCATGCAGATTTGTGCCACTTGACCCCTCAAGCATGGCGGAGAAGTTGGACACTCACATCTTGGCTACATCCAACAGAATCTGCCCTGGTCAGAACCAAGTAGATGCAGCACACACAGGCTGGTCAGGGGAGTGGGAGGACAATGTACTGCCAAGGGTTAAAAGCAAGGTCCAGATCCACAAGAAATCCTGTGAGGAGAAAAGCACAACCCGGCAATTCAGGCATGTCTCACCCCCGTTCAAATGACATTGTTTCAGTGCTGTCTGCCTCACCCCTCAGTGGTAATTACAGACTTTCACTACAGGGGGAAGAGAACACGGTGGAAGAAACCTTCATTACAGACATCTCCCAGAGAAAAGCAGCCCCAGTGTAAAGTCTCAGGCACATAGCCAGGATCAGCCACCAAAGCAAAACACATTTAGGACAAAAATAAAAGGGGGAGAAGTGTTAAGTGCTTTGGGAAGATCAGAAGCCCACCAGGTTGGCTGCTGTACAGTGCTGGGTGTGGGGACACTTTGGAGGAACTGGAATGCTGCCCTGCTTTTAAGTGGTGCGGTTTGCATTTACATTCTTCCTTCCTTCCTCCTTCTCCGGGTGCTTGTTTTCCCTGATGGCTGGCTGCATGTGTCCCTTTGTCACCCCTGGCAAACACCAGTGGGCTTGGAACGGATGGTTTTCCTAGGCTTCCTAGCTGGATGTTTGTCAAAGGGGCACATAAAGCTGTAGGTGTCCTTGGCTGACCCCTCTCCCTTTTGTACACCTAGCTTATGATATACACTCAAGAACAGGCTTCTTGTGCTCAAAGCTGGGGGCTCCTTCTTACCTTATATATATTACAGGGGCCCAAAGTTTGAGTTTTGTTACAAAGGATGCAAGAGGGTTTTTGTTCCCAGTAGGTAATGCATCTGTTACAGCCCATGATCATTTCCTATTACTGTGGTGCATCTGTCAGGCTTGGTGTTGACCTTCCCTCAGGTGGCTGACACCTCTGGCAAAAAATGGTCTCGTTCCTGCTGCTTTTCTTCCTCATTCCAACTTTCTGTTGACAAGTGGCATAGGTCCAAGCTAAGTTGCTCTTTTTACCCCTGGGCATTCACATGTGTGAAACTGAGAACCACTGTCATGGCATGGTAAACTCAGTGTTTGTGGGAGAGGTCACTTCAGTGACAAGATTTTCCAACAGAACCCTTTTTTGTTGCTGGTGGTAACACCTTGTTCTTGCAGGATCTGGGGTTTGATGTTACATTAGAAAGATCCTTCAACCAAGAGGCCTTGTCCCCAGGCAGCTAACAGCAGGGATAGGAGAGGACCAGGAGGAGAAAAACGTTCAATCAGAACGCCATTAAAATGTGCCTAGGGAACTGGCTGAATTTTAATTGTTCTTTCCTACTCAGTGAGTGAGCATAGGAAAAGATTTACCTTCTGGCCTTTCCATTTGGGCATGTTGACATTTCCAGGCGGCACTTTCCTCTGATGGAGAGGTTTGACGTCAGGTGTGCTGATTAAAGCCTGCAGTGCCTCTGACTCATTTGGCTACGTCCTGTGCAAGGGGATTTGTAATGTGTCTCTCGTCTTTCTTTCACTCATTATGGTTGGTTTTAAATAAATAAAGCTAAGCTCAATTCACAACTTCAGGGAAGATGCAACTCGGCTCAGGCTCAAATATGCATTGCCATGGCAACAGATGCTGTCAGGCACACACAGACGTGTCACTCTTGGCAGCAAACTCCCCTGCCCTCCTCTCCCTGCCCAAGCAGTGCATGGGGCTGGGGTGGCATGCAGGAAAGCCAGGTGAGGCTGGCACTCTCCACACCACTTGGGCATGCAGCTGTTCCTGGGAACTGGCCTCGCTGTTCTCCCAGCCTCACGAGAGCTCACCTGGGCCAGCCAACTGCCCTCTTGCAGGCAAGAACTCCTTTGGGAGAAGCCCTGGTGAATGAAGTTGCCCCTAGTGTGACTTTCTCAGCTTGCAAAAAGGAGGAGAGGGACTACCTGGATCAAAAAGTCTCATATAGCTGCTGCCAAGTGTGGCATGCTCTTCATGCATGGACTGAGATCTGAAATAAAGAAATAAAAGTTTTCACCTACCTTCCATTAACCCCCACTGAGCAAATCCCTCATGATTGTAGAGAGATGCCCAGCAAGGAAACAAAAGTGGGGAGAGATGTGGTTTCTGCAGCTGACTGTGGGGTAGATAGCTTATCCAAGGCAAGGCAAGGCAAGGCAGTAGAGTCCCTGGGTCCTCTGTCCCAAAGTACCTGTGTCTCCTTGACATACTGAGCAGGTCCCTTTGGTGCAGCCTTTTCCTGTACAGCTTTTGATTAATCAAGAACTTGAGTATAGCAGCAGCCTAAAACATGAAGCATGAAACATGGCCAAAGGCAGCGTCTCTACGAAAGAGGCTCTTTGAAGTGCTCAAGAACTCCTTGCCTGTGGCTCTGCACCTGTGCATCTCTAACATCCACTGATTATACAACCATCAAAGTTGGAAGAGACCTTTAAGATAACCAAGTCCTAACATCCTCCCAGCAGTATCACAGTAACCCTTAAACCATAAACCATATCACCCAGCACAGATCCAGATGCTTCTTAAATACCTTCAGGGACGGTGATTTCACCACCTTCCTGGGCAATCTATTCCAATGTCTGACCACCCTAACAATGAAAAGTCTTTTTGTAATACTTAATCTGAATCTCCCTTGTCTCAACTTAAGGCCATTTCCTCTGGTTCTTTCACTGCAGACATGGTAGAAGAAATCAGTCTCTCTACCTGGACAGCATCTCAATGTCCTTTTTAAAGTGACGAGCCCAGAACTGGATGCAGCACTTGAGGTGTGGCCTCACCAGTACTGAGTACAGGGGGAGATCACTGCCCAGGTCCTGCTGGCTATACTATTATTGATACAGGTCAGAATGCCATTGGCCTTCTTGGCCACCTGGACACACACACTGGATCACGTTCAGCCACTGCTGGCCAGCACTCCCAGGTCCTTTTCTGCTGGGCAGCTTTCCAGCCACTCTTCTCCGTGCCTGTAGTGCTGCTTGGGGGTGTTGTGACCAAAGGGCAGGATCTGACACTTTGCCTTATTTAACCTCATGCAGTTGTCCTCAGTCCATTGGTTGAGCTTTCCAGATCCCTCTGCAGAGACTTCCTACCCTCAAATCAGATCAACACTCCCATACAACTTAGTGTCATCTGCAAATTTATTGAGGGTGCCATCAATCCTAATGTCCAAGTCATCAATAAAGATGTTAAACAGGACCAGCCCCAAAACTGAGCCCTGGGGAGCACCGCTAGCAACCAGCTGCCAAATGGATTTAGCTCCATTCACCACAAATTCTCTGGGTCTGGCCATGCAGCCAGTTTTTTACCCATTGAAGAGACCACCCATCCAGGTCCTGAGCAGCCAGTTTTTCCAGGAAAAGATGTACTAGAGAAATGAGACATTCTGGTTTGTGTGGCAAACGGGGCTAACAGTGTTGCCAGGTCTTCCTTTCTCCAAGTATCTCAGAACATTCAGCAGCTTTCTCAAAGCCTGAGCACCTGGAACTCCTGGAAACGTGAACACTTCTTGCCTTCCCTGCTCTTAGGTGACTTCTGACAGTTGCAGGGAACTGGCTGAAAATGTGCCCTGCTGCCTCTGACATAGGCAGGCAAACCTAGGAAACCATCATTTACTGGTTTTAATCCTATTATTTTTAGATCACCCCATTGAGTGAGTTCTGAATTACAGTTTTTGGTTTGGCTTGTGGGCAAGCACAATGCATGCAGGAAAGTGTTTTGAGTGCTGTCCCACTGACCTGAGCTGCACCAAGAGGCAGCATGTACCCTGTTGGACTTGTACAGGGGCAGGAAGGGGCACAAAACCATCGAGCCAAGAATTCAGTCTTCCCAAATAGATCTCTAGGGCTGGGGAACGCTTTCTCACTTAATCCTCATTTTGTAGGTTTAATGCTTCCCCATGTGGGGTGCCATGTGTTTTTTCTACCACAGATGATTTGAAATTAACCTTGCCTCCTACAGTCGCTGCACCCTGCCACATTGGGGAAGTTAATAGCATTGGAAGAGTTTGAACTTGTGAAATGTTTCTATGACTGCATAGATTGAGCCACATTACCATGACAAATCACTGAAATCTGAGAAATCTAATTTACAACACAAATTTCTTTTTTGTGTGTGTGTCTTTCCCAACTCAAATTCAAGTCAGAGAGTGTCTGGAATGTGCAGTAACTCTAATCCAGCAGAACTGTGGGTGTAAGAAGGATGAAAAACAATTGCATGAGGTCTCCAGGGCTGGTCTACAATGACTCCAAACCCTAAATTGCTTATCCCTTGAACGTGGTTTACAGCAGCAATGGATCCTGGCGGAGCTGTGTAACCAGCACTTAAATAAAGGGGAGGCAGCAAGACCTCCTGAATCAGTGGCATCTGTTCTGGGAAGGGCTGGCCCAGAAATAGCCACAGCAAGAAGGTACTGAAACCCACTGACTCCTCCTAGAAACGGAATTGAAGGTCACAAAGTAAAGACCCCTGCAACCAGCACTGGCCTCTGATTAAAAATAAATCCTTTCATGCACAGACAGTGGTTTGAGAAAGGAAAATATTGAACTGCAGTGAAATCTTGGAGAGTTCATGGCTGGACACCTTGGAGTGGAAACACCAGTAGCATCAATTCAGGTAAAGCTCAATACCTCCAGCCACCGGCATCAATGTACAAGAGTACTCCCATCTCTCAAATTTAACTTCCTTCACAATAAAACTGATTTTTACAGTGCTTTTATCTGGGATAGTGTGAAAGTAACTGAGGAACAACAGAGATGAAAGTCTGCTTGGTGTCACCAGACCAGCTCTAAAGCCAGGAAAATCATGATTCTCTGTAAATAGTTAGTGTTTTGCCCCAGTATGGGAATTAGCATCATTATTTCCAAGTGATGGGGGCTGCCACTGTCTCTGCCAGAACAATAAACAAAACAAAGCACTGTGGTGTGGTCCTCCTACCCCCTGTATTGTGCTCTCAGGACTAGCAGACAGCAGAGATATTTGGGCACTTAGCAGGTTCACTTCTTCCTTTAAAATGCACTCAAGGAAGTACTGGTAAAATACATTTTATGAATGCCCCACATAACTTACTGCTGTCACTTACAACTGAGAAGGAACTGCAAAGAAAGGAACTGATATTTATAGGGGTGAAAACATCCTTCTTTATTTTGAGGGCATGGCTTAGAGTCCTATGAACCCTTTGCAGAATTCAAGTTTTCATAAAGCACGTAAAACAGGGTTTTGAAAATGGAGAACTGTTAAAAAACCTCAGCACCCTAAACTCCACATCAAACCAGAAATGTTCCTCATGAGCAAGTTAATATATAAATACACATCATATCTTTATTTCTGTGGAAGACCATTAAATTTCCAGGAACTACCCAGTGCTTCCTGGCACATACCAAGGGAGGCCGTGACCTGAGCAACAGCTGTAATGATCCCATCACAGACAGAATATTTTGCAGTATTCTACACAAATATTAATTCTGGTGCCAGCAAGTAGTTTTGCCTGGTCTTTTGCTGCCTGGTCAATTGCATGTAAGTCACTTTTCCCTCACTGCAGGCTGACATCCTCTCCTTCTTGACCAGATACTCAGTGGATTATTTTTGTCTCAGATCACATAGTCCCAATGGTACAATTACACACTGACCTCAAAGACTTGCTTTTAAAATTACCCTTCTTTAGCAAACCCTCTGTCTAGTGGGTTGGGTGGTTTTCTTATTTTTTATTTTTATATCTAAATGGTTAAATAGTGGGTGTGGTTGGGGAGAGAGGAAAAGAAGAAAGAGAAAGAAGCAGACAGAGCAAACAGTAGGGGAGACAGTTGTGAGGGTCACAAGTGCACTCAGGAGGGGGACATCCATGTACTCCGAAGAGAAGACACTTGGCTTCCTCTCTTTCCTCAGTAACATCTTCTCCTGGAAGGTCAGTTCTTCCTGTCAACAAATGTCATTTCACTACAGAGACAGTAACAGTCCCTCTTCCTCATAGCTACAGCTAAAGATTTATTCTTGAGAACCACTACCTAAATCAGAGACCAAACAAACCAGCAACTTTCAAACATGGCGTGAAACTTGGAACTTTCCTGTAAGTGCTCACAGATGTTAAACATTTCACGAACAGACGAGACAGAAAAGCAGCTCAGAAGGGCTCTGAAGGGCCTAGAGGCAAACAAGCCTAGGACAGCGGTAGACAATCTTAACTGTAGAGATGTGCTCACAGTGAAAGCCATGTAGGACAGGTGTCATTTGTCCGTGTTGTTATTCAGCTGACAGTTCCATCAAATTTTGAAAGTCTTTATAGAATGCATGAAATCTCTTCAGGAGACACGAGCATCTTCTTTGAGGATGATGAGCTGGAGGGAATAGGACAACAGTCTCTCCTTGCAAGGAAAAAAAAAGGGAAGCAACTCACAGGCTGACAGGGGAAACTTCAAATATGCTGCAACTTCTCACATCCAGGCTGCGCACAGTACTTTTTGAGTTTACTACACAACAGGACTTTCCCCTCCACACTATAAATAGCTTTAAAACCCATCTTTAAAATCATCTGAAATGGTTTTTTAAGGCTGATGGGAGCTGCAGTGAATTCGCTCCAAGTGATAAAAGGAACTTTTGCTGGGCTGGTTGTGGAAGTTGGCCTTCTAATAGCCACCTTTCAGCTGGGCAGTGGCTGCTCTTCCACTGTGCTCATAATGGTCTCCTTCACCCTTCACATCTTCAGGCGTGCATGTCTATTCCACACTGTTCTGCACACCTTATTTTCTGTAGCCTTTTCCACACACTGGCTATGTCTCAGTCCCGACAGGATGAGCTCCCTTTGTGTCAAACCTCACCAACAAAAGGTCAAGAGTAGTACTTGGAGAGAAGGCCTGCAAACGGTGTCCTGATGTATTTGAGGAGAAGGCAACTGTCACTGGGGTGACTCCTGCTCTGCGTGGGAGTTTGATTGTGTAGGACAGATGTGAACGCCATCAGATTGGAAATGATCTTTCAATGTTCCGAATAGTCTATGTT